AGCCTATTTTTCTTATTTTCTCATTTTTTATGTGTTATACGTATACATATGTTGGTGTATGTGTTATATGTATATATGATGTGTATATATGTGTTTTGGTTGCTAACCACGGTAATTAGATCTATGTTTATATTGTTGAAGATACATGTATCGAATGATGTATATATGTTTAAATGTATGTGTTTATGTGAATGTATAAATAATGTGTTATATGTACACATATGTATGCATCATATGCATACATGTGTATGTGTTATATGTATATATATCCGTCGGTCCATGTTATATACATATGAATACACGATACGTATATATGTATGTGGTCGTTAACCACGTCTGAATCTATGTATATATTGTTGAAGATACATGTATCGGATGATGTATATATGTTTAAATGTATGTGTATATGTGAATGTATAAATAATATGTGTGTTATATGTACACATGTATATGCGTTATATGTGTATGTGTTAAATATATTCGTCGGTCCGTGTTATACACACACACACACACACACATATATATATATATATATATATATATGTGTGTGTGTTTGTGTGTGTGTGTGTGTGTTGGTTGTTAACCACGATTGGATCTATGTATATATTGTTGAAGATACATGTATCAAATGATGTATATATGTTGTTTATAAGTTTAAATGTATGTGTATATGTCAATGTATAGATAATATGTGTGTATTGTGTAGGCTTTAATGGATTACATTGGGTTTTGATGAGTCTTAATGAAATGTAATGGATTTATTGAGTTTTATTCRGGTTTAATGGRTTATAGTGGACKTTAATRGATCAATTGGGCATTAATGAGTTTTATTGAGTTTCGTTACTGAGCTTTATTCAATTTTATTGGTTTTAAAGGGTTCATTGGTCTTTATTCAGTTTTAATRGGTTATATTGGATTTTARAGGGTTTCATTGGACTTTATTCGGTTTTATTGGSCCTTAAATGGTTTCATTGGRCTTTATTCGGTTTTATTGGGCTTTAATYCATTTTATTAGGCTTTATTGAGTTTTATTGTGCCTTAATGGGMTTTATTCAGTTTTTTGGGGCCTTAAACCATTGTATTGGCTTTTACTCGGTTTTATTGGACTTTAATAGGATTTATTAGGCTTTATTCGATTTTATTGAACATTAATCCGTTGTATTGGGCCTTAATGAGCCTTGAGCTTTATTCCGTTTTGTTAGGCTTTAATCCATTTCAAATGGTTTTATTCGATTTTATTAGGTCTTATTGAGCTTTATTCGATTTTAATTTATCGGACAGTTTTGGTTTGTTATTTTATGGGTAGGTTTTTATAAATAAATATAAGAATTATGTAATTTTAAATTATTAGAAATTAGCTACGGATTAAAAGATCATGGTCCCTTGCTAATCCGTCGTCAACCTAAAAGCATTCATCGCTAATCCGTCGCTAAAAGCATTCATGCTAATCCGTCGCTAAATATATCCATCACAAATCCGCACGATGAAAGRTTTCCGCCATTAATCCGTCGCTGAAAGATTTCCGTCGTTAATCTGTCACTGACAAAGTATGTCATCGCTAATCCTTTGCTGAAAACTTTTCGTTGATGATCTGTTGCCTGATAACATTCCGTACAAGCTTTTGACTGCGGATAAGATGCCTTTGGCGACAAATTTGCTACAAATGTTTCTGTCGCTTATACTTCTCATTTTTGTAGTGCATCTTTTGACTTCGTATCCAAGTTTCAAAGACTGTTGCAGATTGAAGTTGGACCATYGACAACCATAAAGAAGAAGTAGAGCTGATAAAAAGTTGGGCCATCGACAACCATACGAATATCGATATATTTTTGTCAAATTTTTATGATATCTTCAAACTTATATTTTATTCAAAAATAAAAAYATCATCGTTTTCTCAAAATCACGTAAGACCAAATTATAACATCGACTGAGATAAAGAATAAAATGAAATATTAAAATCAAGATGYATCTCGCTGCATTGCRCAAGTACCCTTCTAGTTACAATAAAAACATGTTTGTTAGTGTATTTGATTGATCAAATTCTTTAAAAAATCATGTTTTATATGTTAAAATCAATTAAAAAAATTAAGCGAGACCGATTTGGACCCAGCCCGAGAATAGGACTGGAACCAGTAACAGRGCTCAATACAYCTTACTTGGGCTTTYCCTTTTTGACCRGAACCGATTACGTCAGSATCAGTAACAATATTGGTCCGGAAYTGATTTGGGACCAACCTAACCTAATTCGGAACCAGTTTTTGACCATGTCTAAGTAACTATTTAGAGTTTTAATACCTATGRGAAAAGTAGTGAATAGTAATATGTATGAAATTGGTTATTATTTGCAYATTTACCCAAAAGAAAACCCTAAGGAATGAATCGAGCCTTCTCTATAATTTTATTACCAGCTTCAAATCAATGGAGTCTCCCACTCCCTGCCTCATTTGAATTCGATTGTCGAAGATTAAAGACAAATAGAGGTAACGTTAATTGTTCTTTACGTTCATTAATTTCCTACAGATTTTTTTTCTAACAAACAGATTTCCTTTTAATTTTGAATGCATTCCTATCATAATTGGATTTAGATTTACGAGGGTTTTCACGTATTTCGTTTTTTATGTGATCATGCAATTTCAATATGAATGTCAAGTTTAATATCCACTTAATTCAAATCGGTGGATTTGATTATTGTATGTAATATATATTTATGTATGTGTAAGTGTAAATTAAATCGTCGAATCCAATCGAGTATATCTGATTCAGGGATAATATATTTATCTAAAATATTAATGTTTAGAAAAATAAAAGAATCTTGTTCATGATGACAAGAAAATGTTTGGGGGAGAAAGGAAACGTTTGCTTCAAATTTTAGTTCTCTAATTCTCAGATTAACCTTATTTATGAGGTTCGAAGGAAAACAAGGTCAAGATGATAAAATATAAAAATGATCAAATCATATATGATTTTGTATCGAAGTCAAATGCGAACAAAACACGATCAACATAAGGGTATGTGATGACTTGGCCCCCACAACTTAAATTGCACGAAATCATGTGTGATTTGGCATGTAAGCATAAGGAAAAATCACAAATGATTTGACTGTTCTCGTGTTTTCTTATTTGATTCATATTCTTGTTTAAACCTAGTCTCTATCTCTTTTTTTCTCTCTCTCTCTCTCTCTCTCTATGTGTGTGTGTGTGTGTATGAGAGAGAGAGAGAGAAAAAAAAAATGCAAACCAAATTATTTGTACAAATCGTGAAAACCGTCGATTTTATTGTTTATTTTAGCCAAATTTTTACACAAAATTGTTTAATATGATGAAATTTGTTTAATGAAAAAATTCACTAGAAATAAACAATGAACTCGATAGTTTTCACGGTTTGTACAAATAGCTTGGTTTGCAAAATATCTCTCCCCTCTATATATATAGTTGGGTTCACGTAAGACCGGCTGTGTTTGTGAGACCCATGAAACCATTCTTTTACACTTGAAATTTCATAGCAAAACACTGTGGAGGTAAAAAAAAAGTTCGATCCTTCACAGCAACCTTTACATTGTTTTGCTATGAAATTCAAGTGTAAAAAATGGTCTCACGAAAACAGRCTGATCTCACGTTATCCCAAGTCTATATATGTGTGTATATATACAATGTATGTAYGTATKTACGTAYGTACGTACGTAYGTATGGGTGGGGATTCAAACGAAAACATTTCTGTTTTACGAAAATGTGTGAAYATTWATGGGCCTCCAAATATTTAACTCACAATTAAAACTGAAAGAAAATAAAGTAATTAATTAAGGATAATCAYGTAATCAAWTTCATATTTATTTGTAATTTYTGTGACATCCTTWTCTCTAAAATCACATACATATAATACACTAACCGGTATCAAATAATTATCACAACAAAATCACATAACGAACAAAGAGGTCGATTAATGTAGACATGATCATTGTTGGTTTCTATTATCAYATCGCTATCATAACAAAAATYACATAATTATTAGATAAKTATCACATCATAAACAATCTTCAACTTATCAAATCATTATCACAGTATYATCACGGCAAAATTAAATCATTATTGCAATATTATCACATCATTATTATCAACAACGGACACAACGACATAGAAAGTCTCCAACAATAATAACAAAATTAAAGGGATAGAGATAAATCTAGGATAACAAAAGTTTATGGATAAATACTAACTTATTTTCATTTATTCTATTTTTTTATTATGTGTTAATTAATTTTTATTTTCCTTTATTCTATTTTTTATATGTGTTAATTAATTTGGAGGCTCAAAAGTATTCCCGTGTTTTCGTAAAACAAGTGTTCTCGTTTGAACCTTATATATATATATAGAGGAGTGATCGTATGAAAACCGCCCTCATTTGTGTAAACCGTGCAAACAACCTTCATCTGTCGATTTCATTGTTTAATCTTATGAATTTTTTTCATGAAATTGTTTAATCTTGTGAAATTGTTTCATATAATACTTTTTTTTGATGAAGTTGTTTCATATATGGTTGTGAAATTGTTTCATATAATACTTTTTTTTGATGAAGTTGTTTCATATATGGTTGTGAAATTGTTTCATATAATACTTAATGAAACTGTTTCATGTATTTCNAATCTAGGATAACAAAAGTTTATGGATAAATACTAACTTATTTTCATTTATTCAATTTTTTTATTATGTGTTAATTAATTTTTATTTTCCTTTATTCTATTTTTTATATGTGTTAATTAATTTGGAGGCTCAGAAGTATTCCCGTGTTTTCGTAAAACAAGTGTTCTCGTTTGAACCTTATATATATATATATATATATATATATATATATATATTCACGTACAAAATCATAGAGGTTCAAAAGTCATTTGCTTTTCATTTTTTTGACGTTAATGTAAAATCACATGATTTTGTGCATTAACGATTTTTTTCTTATTTTCTTAAATTATTAACGATATATGAATAAAATCACGCACGYGCCAATAGCCAGCCAAATGAGAAGGCACATTATCTCAGTATCCATATTAACAAATTTGAAAGCATTATCTGAGTATCCACATTAACAAAAGAGTACACCGAGGCATCAATGATTTACAGTCCATCTACTTGTGAATCCTAAACAACCAAAACCAACATAAACAAATAAGAAGACACAATTTGATTCACAAGAGAAGTGTGTGTGATTAATTCACATTTAAGTAAACAACAAATATAACCCACCCTGGTTAGCGTGGTTTTGCACCTCCGTTTTCTTCGACCGAGTTCACTGGAGTCGATGCACCACTCCGTTTTCCACTGGTTCCAGTGATGGTCCGCCCCATGAACTTTCCAGCCTTGCTGAGACCACTACCAACGGCTCCCAGCCCACTTCCCACAAACCCAACCCCAGCACCGACTCCACTTCCCACGAGCCCGACCCCGGCACCGACTCCACTTCCCACGAGCCCGACTCCTGTGCCGATACCAGTACCCACTAGTCCAACCCCAGACCCGACCAATCCGGCTGCTCCATCAATGGCATCCATGGTGCTTCCTATAAGACCTGCTGCTTTCAGTCTCTTTTTCTCTTCTAGTATCTTCTTCTCTTGTTCTATAGCAGCTTCTTGCTCTTCCTTGGTAAACTGRTGGTACTTGACCTATATGTTTCAAGATTTTCACATCAAACTTTCCCATTTTAAATTAGTAAATTATCGATTTGCTCACTATCAACCTTACAGAAAAATAAATGGCACTAATTTTGGTCGACAATATTCCAAGGGCATATCAATAGTGTGATTAACTAAGAAATGCTTTTAGGTCCCTACAAGACRAGAAATAAATAAAACACCAAAAGGATTTCCTTCTTTAAATCCAAAAGCATGCTATTCACTTTAAGAATGAAGAAAGAGATCAAGGATACGAGTCAATCCCAAACAATGCAACACTAATTAAGTGATTAATCAAGCTCCTGAAGCAACATGCATAAGATGTGGGATAGGATGATATGAATATACTCGCTAGATCCTGAAACATATGTAACGTTTAGTTGTAGGCATAGTTTCATGTGATGATTTGACTCTTGAGCATAATATTTAAAATACCAATTGATGATACATACTACAAAGAATCTTAATGACCAAAAAAGGGTGCTATCAATATTTTGTTCAAACAAGTGATTTGGATAAAAACTCGGGCAAATAAGAAAATGTAGCATCTATTTTCTGGGGCATTGTAAACAGAAAATTGTTAGATATACCTCATAACTCAAGAAGTGAAGCTATAATAATCAATGCTATAGAAGTAGTACTGACTACGTACCTTGACTGTAAGAGTTCCTCTATCCTTCTTATCTTTTATCTTGAGCATATCAAGAGAAGGTAGCAGTTTCAATTCGATCTCTTTCTCGATTTCTGGTTCAAGGTCAATCAGAGATAATTTTGCTATGCCCAATCGCTTGTCTTGCCCAATATCTTGATCCAAAACCTGTTTGGATTACAACACATAACATCAATATTATTGAACTAAATGATTGTTGTTTTAGAACCATGACAACACGAAGGTCACAAATGTGGGAATCGCTGCACAATTAAAAGACAGCACCAATTCTCTGGATTAAAATACCATCAACAAGGATTTAAAAAAATCAAAACTTAACAGACAAGATTATGCTGTTTCAGCACATAAACTTCATGAAAGCTTATTATTATCAAYAGAATCTCATTTAGATCAATACACCCAATGAAGCACGTCAATTTTCAAGGTCTTCCACCTTTTTGAGGAAGTTCAGCTATGTGACCCCATTTATCGAAATAATTATYGAGTTCTCAGAGCTAAGACACATGTGTCACAATACTCTATAGTAYGTACACATAAAATGGTCTATAATATACCCTCAAAGATTTGACAAGTAGATGACACATCAATACATCTCCTAAAAATTAGTATTATAAAATCGCCTCTAGGTAGATCTTCGTCTATGTCTCCAATCTCCAATGTGCTCTGTAAACAGTTAGTTGCTTGATAAYCAGGGGCATAGGGAAAAGCAAACTTGAGACTTCACATTAAGTGAAGAGCTCAGTCGACCTTTGTACAGCCTTCAAAGATAGATTCTACTAAAATCTGGTAATTGAAGGGTTCCTCAACCACTATTTAGCCAAGAAAAACCCCTACTATACCGCACTTGCTTACCATGAACGATAAGCCTTTTATCTCAAACTAGTTACGGTAGGGACGAAAGTGATAAAAGATTATGAGGTGACCTTCTAGAGGTCATGAACATGAAGAACATCCTTCCACACATTCTCAAAAGCAACTCCTTTTCTGTGTTGCATTCACTAAAATCTCACTTGATTGGTTTCCTCAGCATAACCCTTGCACCTTCTTCTGGATTCAAATCTTTTCTTACTAATCAATGCATCCAAAGGTTCCTCCTTATGTTAATGTAACATGTTACAAACCTCATCTTACAACCCATGCATCTAAATTTCTACATTGGATATCACCAAACCATATCAACTAGAGTTGACTCGGTTTCTGCCAGTTGGTGTCACCCAACCTTYCGAGACTAAAGCTGTGAATCTAATCACCTGAGCATTCACATTTTTGCTACACTCGTAATCTACATGATATTTTTTGGTGTTGTCCCGATGGATCTTACTATGCCTTACCATTATATTTGAGAAGGATCAAATTTAAGATAGATTTTCGCCAGAACTCTTCCGAGATTAAAGCTGTGAATTTTAATCAGCAACCGAACTGTATTGCAAAAATAGATATGAAGGATGGATAAGGAAGTGTAATTTGATGGCTGTTCCCTGGTATGACTTTGATATCATCTTGGGAAAATGAATGTACGTTCCAAAGGTGACCCCTTAGGTGTTCAGACTGTTTACATGGGAAAAACCAGATTTTCTGATTTGTATATATAAATTTAGACGATGAGGGAACATAAAGTTGGTTGCTTGTCTGTGGTCCGAGTGGAATTCATTGTCAAGTCCCTGCTCTTAGTCCCTATTGTATATCACCCTCATTGACAGATACAGTTGAATGAACTGGAGTCGAAAATTTTGCAGCCGTAAGGCTCCTTATCRCGCTCCTGTGTCGTCTTAAAACAAATAGGCATCCTATTTGTAAGTTCTGGGGACAAGCTATAAACAAGGTTGCTATAAAAACAGTATCAAATTCTGAATGCTGTAGAATTGTTCCACTGTTAGCAGCCAGGTAATTTACATGGTTTTGTTAGTTGTTCGTGGTCCGACTGGGTTCTGTCAATAAGCCCCCTGATCTTAGTCTCCATCAGATATCACCCTGAGTGTACATTGACAGATACAGTTGAATGAACTGGTCAAGTCAAATTTTTGCAGCTGTGTAGGGCTCCTCATCACGGCTCTTTTGTTGTCTCAAAACAAACAAGATGGCTATTTGCAGAAATGTTCTGGCTACAAGGATATAAACAAAGTTCCGATCAAGAAACGATATCATAGTGGATCAGCTGTCCGAGTAGTAGTAAGTTAGAAATTGTAGCTCAAAATGGGATATCCTACAAGGTTAGGATCATAAAGTTTCTTGTTATGTCATTTGGTCCGTCAAACACACTAACCATATATATTCTAAACTTATGAGTGAAGAATTTTATGACTATAGATTTATTTGTAGCATACCAGATGACATTATGGTATAAAGACTTTAGAAGGTCATTTGAACATACAAGGCTCGTATTTCAACAAGGCAAATGTCATGTTCCTCGGGGGATACTATTATCTCTGTTGTCTTGCTCATATAACTAAACTAAAAGGTGATACTGAAGCCTGYGTTAAATCTTGATTGTGTGTCAAGTTCATGAACTAGGGAAGAAAAGGAAAAAGAGATTGGTGTCATAGCCTCGATCTGTTCTTTGAGAGGCATTGGTAACTAGTAATGATGCATTCTATATCATGTTCAGTAAACGTGGATGGAATAAGTTCGATCTTTATAGTGGTAGATTTTTTCTCTAAATAGATCTTTTCTCTAAATTTTCAGTCTTCATTCCAAAACCACATGCTTATCCCGAATACTTGGTGTAGCCAGAGGATTGGTGTTTAGTTAGACGGGTTCAGAAATGAAGTTCCCTGCTGCCGATGATTGCCAAATCTAAGGTTAAATCCAATTTTTGGGARAAGCATCCATGACACTACAGGGCTAATGCATGCCATACAGCTTGTTGGTTGCAAGGTTCAAAACAGAATAGTTTGAGATGGCTAAAGTAATTCGAACAAGGCAAAAAGACAGAAGAAGTAYGAGAATAAATGTCAAACCCAGTTATGTTAAAGTTAATTCCACAACTTTGGTAGGTCAATATTCGATAGCAAGAAGGTACATCAAGTTAATCCTAAATCCTGATGTACCATTTTAGGGGTTTCTGCTTGCTAATTCAAGCTTCCGTATTGCTTGAAAGTTCACCTAACTATATATCAGTTTATTTGGTCATTCCCACAAGATTCACTTGATGCAGGTGGAAAGCAAGCAAAAGAGGCTCTGGCAGTAGCTCGAATAGTTTGACAAGCTGTTCACAACATTTTGGATCAACTAATTCAAGTTGGGATAGAAGATGCGACATATTTGGTACATTGAGAAACCGATGTGTATTGGTAAGACCCCTCCCACAAGGGCRCCATTGTAGGAGTGGTTTCTTACTCTGTTAATAATCTCCACTGATTGTGACATGGTTTACATCTGATGGATGTGTCATCGCCGGCTAGGCAAATGACTAACTACCATTTGATCATAAACCTGGTAGGTGTTTCAAATAAGTACCTTCACTCCAAAACAGTTGTGGGTTTGGGCARAGCAAAGACCCACCCACGAGTTGGACAAGTGTTAGGAATGCACATGGACAAGCGACAATCCAGTTGGGCCTTTACTATGCAGCCTAAATTGCGATGCATCCCATTGAGTGTGGGGMTAGCCAGCTAGCACAGCATTAGGCAGTTGACAGTTAGACTAATGGCCATCTAGCATGGCAAAGTTCTTCCCATATGACTAAGAGATTTGGTTTTCTAGTCTTTGACCACAATTTAGCCTAAGTAGCTGATGCTATGAGCACATATGATGTCCCCAAGGAAAACTGGCACCAAATCCTYACGACTGCAAATCACATAGTTTAGTTCGTTCCTGCTCTACCAATCAACAGCAAAATAATGTTCTAAATTCCAGATATTAGGACCACATTTATTATATCACCTCGAATAAACTGCAGCCCAATACAAGGGCCTGTAAAACCCACCCATTTCATCCCTACAACACTGCCGAGTAACAATTTGGTAGTAGCAAAGTAACTCCAACACTTCAGAGAAGAGGTATTCCGTATAGCAAAGATTATTGATAGCCATTAGGACAAATTATTTAAGAACCAAAGAAACCAGAACGATTCTGTAATCGTAAAACCAGGCTCTATATGAAAGCAGACAGAAGAAAAGCTTAACCTCAAATACAGCAAACTGGGTCTCCTTGTCTTCCGCAATTAACTGAAGTACATGATTCCAAACAGGATTCAGGTTGTTATCGACGACCTTTGTTTTAAACTTTTCAAGTGGCCGAATAAATGCAGTCACATAAGGATCAGACTTTCCTATCATTTCCATRTTTTTCAAATTATTTGCCTTCACAATCGTTAATGTGAGCTGTCCTTGTGGCTTAAGTTCCAGGTCACTGCATAAAATGGAAACAGGAAATGATAATTAGCCTCTTCCTCAAATATTTTGAGTGATGCAATGCGAAGTGATACAGAAATAAACTATTAAGTCTAAGTCCAGCCCTTTTTGATGAAGAGAACATRGGATTAGATAACAATCATGCATGATAAAAGAGCAAGGGAGAATGTTTTTATTCGTTAAATTGAGAACTGTTGTTACCTTGTATCCACACCTGCACCACCAATGGGAACAACAATCCTGTGGGGCCATTGAAGCATATCTTTAACTATCGTATTTACAGTATCCTACACATCAACAAGTAGGTTAGCATGCATGACGATGGCTTAGACGAAATTAGCTAATGACCAACACTAATCACATCATAAATGAACTTACATCAATCATATCTGAAAGTCCAGGAATGGCTGTTAAACTTCCACCAACGGCCTTCAATGTATAATCAATTTTTGGCTCTGGCTGATAAGTTATAGGATTTGTTAGAACAGAAGAATTGTGTGTTAAGTTTCACAGCATACAACAGAAGAACATCAACAGAACATTATAAAAAGTTATGGTGCTACTTTCTTCCGATACATCAAATTCACCCATCCAAACATCCTGTTCCATGTTCTATCAATAGCGTAATAGAGATTCACGACTTCACGTTTTTGAACTACTGTTTCAAAAGAATTAGCATTTGGAAGTGTTCAATCACCAACAGGATTCGATTTTCTCATGTTACAGGAGATGGTGATGCCCCAGGGACATCAAGGCTAACATGTTAGAAACCATAGAAATAAGTGTCCCTTCCCAGGTGCCCAATCCTCCCCCGTGTTTGTGTGTGTTGGAAAAAGTAGTGCTAGTACATTGTATTTCCCTTGCTTTTTGCAAAGGTGTTTCCATGACTTGAACTCATGTGCTTCTCACAAAGGAGTAACCCTATCGATTGCTACAACGACACACACTAGCAATAAGAAAAGAAGAAGGGCGAAGATGGATACACAAGGGTTTCAGATATGCACATGACAAGACAATGTGAAATTACTTATATGTCAACAAAGTGGGAGTGGAAGTGGGACTGTGACAATGACACGTGGAAGATTGAAGGGGCCTTTAGAGACTAAATAACAAAGAAGTGTGTGTGTATATATATATATATATATATATATGTGTGTGTGTGATACTCTGGTGAACCGGAGAAGAACCGACAAAGAAAACGCAAGAAGAAAACTGGAACTCACAAAGGTCAACAGACAAGTAGCAGGTAGGGCTTAGGAGATCCAGAGAATAGCTCACAAAGGTTTTCAAAGAAGAACTCAAGAAGGTTTCAGTCATTTTTTAAATAATTTAACCTCTGTAGAGAAGCGTACACCTCTCCCCTGCCTCAGACCACCAAGGCATACGTCCCCTCCGGGGCTTGAGACGCGCCGCCTCAGGTGCGATTTTGGGCAGCATCACCTCGAGGCGTACGCCCGGTCCGCCTTTTAAAACCATGGATGTTCCTATGTAAGTTAAGCAAACTGATGGAATCATACATTGTACCTCAGAAAGTAAAGCAACAACAACAGCAGAGATGCAAGGAATTTCCTCGGAGAGCTGGAAAATAACACGAATGACTGTAAAAACTTGAAGATCCTTCAGCTGTAGCAATCAAGAACAAACACACAAAAAATAATCTTCTATTAGCATTCACAAACACTATGACAGAAGATAATTAATTGAATCATAAACATACCCACCTGAATTGGTAAAGAAACAACTGCAGCTTCAACTCCTAAAATGATACTTGGATCCCCACCCCAACGCAAATCTATGTCCATTGTTATTTGACCTTTCTTRAGGCTCTGAATGCGGATACCTGAACATTTACATAATTATATGAACTTGAAAAGTAAATTTTGTACAAGTCATTATATCTTTTTACTTGCATAAGCAGCATAAAGTACATACAGACACAGCAGCAATGCACTAGATGGTGCTTCACAATTTAGGCACATGTTTCATAAAATATAGAATCATACATGTGGAGTTTCCTTGAAGCACTTTCAAATCTGTGCACGTCAACCTGTGACGCAAATTTACATATGTAAATGTCTAGATTAATCYGCTATCAGGTTCAGTTTTCCTGTTAAGCCAGAGCACTTGAAGAAAAATATTATGACGAGTCTTTTTCACATAAGGAACTAATCTAATAATAACATGTTTAATTGTGTTGACTTTTTTTAAATCTTTTCTTGCAGGTCAAATCATGATGAAAAATTTAACCTGAKGCCATCTTTTCCTACGCTACTTTCTTCTCCTTTTTCCTGCTTCATTCCTTCCAAGATTTAGTTTTAACAGCAAACTTTGTTAGTTAATGGTACTTTCTACATTAAAACCATAATGCAGCAAGACAGCAATCAAGAACATGTCCATATCCAGTTCAGAATTAGTGTTTTCTCYGAAGGTTCGCCACTTAGGAGCATCTGAAAATATATTTTTGTAAAGGTCAAAGTAATCAGTTTGAGGAAAAATATACCCCTGCCTACCTCTCCTCTCAGATTGTAAACTTGTTTATCAACTAAGCGATCCATCACTTTACACTTGATGTTTTTTTCTTGCATGCTATATATACATCAGGACCATTCATGCTAGGTAATGGCTCGTCYCTAATATGTGCTATTGTTCCTTTGAGATGCATTATGCACATGGTTATATTGATTACTTCTTTAGGAAAAGACATTTCCCTMGTTAGAAAAACTCATATTTCTAGACTTCAAATATTGGTATTAAACCTAGAAAAAACCTATGAGTTATAGCCTAAGTAAAGACTTGAGGGTCTTTTTATTGTTTTATAGTTGATYATGGCTGTAACACTTTTTAGTCTTTAATAAAAGACTAGAATGGAACCAGTAYGGGAGTTTAACTATTTCTGAAAAGTTTAAGGATGCATTCAGTATGGACAATAATGTGAAGCATCTTCGCCGTGTTAAAACATTGCAAACTCGCAAAGGCCGACAACAAAGAGAGAACTCAAACAAGTAAGTATAGCAACCCCACAGCCTGTCTGTTGCTTCTGGTCTCTAGTCCATCTCTCTTTGGGCTATCTATCTCTCCCCTTTGTCTCCAAGTCTCCATGTAACTTTGAGTGCAATAATTCACAAGGCAATGGCACGCACGACAACACTTTGCCGCTCAGTGGCGCCTTGTACCCCAGGAGAAGATAAGACAACTCTATAACCTTGACAYAGACATAAAATAAGTACCTAATGGTTACCATAGTTCCAGAAAGTATGCGATCGTCCTGAAAAAGTTTGCACCAACTAGTTACTGAAGTTTTGGAGAGAACAAGGCCAAGGCCAAGGCCCAGGCTATCATTTCTACAAGAAGACTTCTTATGAAAGCAACCACATTTAAATTTCCTATCAAACCCATGGGCACATTAGAGACAACACCCAAAATTCCCAAGCCARCTCTCACCAAAAGAGCTTTGAGTCCTTATCAAATAAACATTATTTACCTTGTAGGCATGCTAACGTACAACATCATTATTCCATTTCCTTCAGTGTGTTTTTGCACATAATGTTCACCATCCATTATAGGCTGAGTGTTAGGTTAGAGCAAGCCATCAAGGACAATACTTGGCAATGGAACCTCAAAAGAGGATAATCTTGTTAAGTTTTAAATATAAAATGACAAAAGGGTCTTATAGCCAAAATTGACAAAGTTGTGCCTTRAAACTGAAGACAGTAAATATCAGTCTAAGGACACCTGGTGCACGATAAAGTAGTACATACTACATAAGAGCATTAAGGCAAAAAGGAAATTCCCTGTGTCGAGAGCATAGAGATGAATAAAACTACTGAAAAGAAGAAGCTCAACTGGAAGCAATTTATACCAAATAACTGGAGCAAGTGAAGATGGGGTACCTACAAGTTGTCTTAAGTTCTTTGTGGATATAATGAGTGAATATTGGTGAACTTGAAGACACAAATATAGAGTGCTAGTATATAAGATAAGAGTATGAGGTGAAGAAGAATCCTAAAMCTATGAAAGTATGCAATATTTGTAAACCTAATAATAGTTATTTTAGAGGATGCCTTATCATATATGACTTAAATAGTTATTAGCAGCATATTTAGAACAAAGATATACCTTACAAGTGAAGGAATAATACATCGCTTCTGATTTTCAAGAATAAAACAGACATCCAGATCTCTCCACTAATCATACATCAGCTTATGGATCCTAGATGAAATGGTAAGCATCTCCGAATTTTAATTTGATTTTGTGTCTGGAWAATTGACAACCAAGGCTATATGACCGGACAATTTGTGGGAAGATACAGAGACGAACCTAAGGATGTGCATATGGTATCCATTGTTCTGGAGAAGGCATACAATAGGTGTCAAGGAGCCCTATGTGGTATGCCCTCGAGAAGAAATCTCACGGAGTACGTTAATGTGACTGAAATGTATATAATGAAGCACTGACTGCTGTGAGGGTATGTGGACAGGGGTGATTTCCCTACTTGAAAATGATTGTCTCGATCTGTTAGCACTAAGACCTTACATAAGTTACAGAAAACAAGATTTTCTCGATGTCTTTTGCTAATTGATATGACTAGGTCAGGTATAGATAAAAAACCAAAGTTGTTGAAACAATTTGAATTGGCAGTTTCGATCAAGCAAGACCAAAACAATGTATGTGAACTGTGACTTTAATGGTACAGATAGTGGTGTGTGGCAMACATGACTTAACAAGATGTATATTCTCTTTACGTACCTAGGCTATATTGCTGAGGAGTGTTGAAGATGCTAGTCACAGGGAAAGGGTACAATGGATGAAGTGGTAGTAAACACTATTACTCCTGTATAACATTAACATCTCACTGAAGTATAAGGATGGCTTCAATAAGAAACAGTGAGGCCTACTATGACTAATGGGCCAGAATGTGGCACCGCCTCAAGACATGTATACCAGAGGAATTAAGTAAATGTGAATGTTGAGTAGGATTTTAGGGCACACATGCATGAAAAAGCATGAGAAATGAGGATATACTCGACTAAAGAGAACCCCATGCTACATCAATTTAAGATGTTTTGGTTATCTWCACGGATTGTGGATGTAACAGTAGGAATTGGAGACTTACATCAAGATGATGGTGGCAATATAAGGAGATGACAGCCAAGATTAACACGGGGAGTAGTCAAGGAAAGATAGCAAAGGAATTGGATATAGATAAAGAGTGTCAAAGGATGGTTGTTATGTTCCAAATCCTATTTTTATTTTCTAATGTCTTCCACTTCAGTGTCTAGCAACCCCAACTAGTTTGGARCTGTAACTGCAATGACTAGTTTCTACTTCACCAACTTGTTGCGACTTTTAAATATGTAGATGAAGTGAATTCCAAAATACCRCAACGATTCATCTTCTCTTTCAAATTATTGTTTTTCACCCCTTTTGACGGTAGGTAGTGACACTTAAAAGTTAAAACCATCAACACATTTGAAACAGCAAATAAGTTGAAGCATAAAGTATACGGAATAGGGAACGATGTGCATGGAGGGAAATTTTTTAGTGCTTCTTAGCACCAATGTATGTAAGGAAATTCGTAASAGATGTGGACTGCATGTAGATGGTACCTTCAATCTTTGGTGCCACAGTTCCAAGCGACAGTTTATTGAACTTCAACGATGAAATTCCTGTTGGACGATACTCTTCCAATAGCGGCTCAACAGATTCCTTAATTATTATACTAGCTGCCTACAAATGTAAAATTTAAGAAAATTAGACTTGACTCGGAATGCATTCAACCTAAGAACCCAATACAAGAGAAAATATAAAAGCAAGACCAAGAACTGCATAATTAACAATTTAAGGAGCCTCCAGTATGTTTAGTAGATAAGCTACTACCATTAAAAACTAAAATAAGTTCCTGGTGTACTTCCCTATTGTTGAATTAAGTGGATTATTTTCCCACCATGTTATGCCATCTCTACATCCTCTACACGGCTACACCACTTACACTTGAAAAATATGTGCTTCTTTGAGATACACCATCTACAACTCTCAACACAAAATTCTCTTCAACTCCAAATGACACTTCAATCTTGAGAGAACAGTTTTTTTGTTATTTTGTACAGCAAAAGCATTTTAATCCGCAAAGTACTTCAGCCCGATTGTCGAATATCATCTTAGTCCACAAACTACTTCAAATCAGAGATATAGTGATGATCCCAGTGACACTCACAAAAGAATACTGTAAATAGATAATCAGAATACTACAGGAGAGAGRGCACTCATGTAGAAAATATATATTAATAAGATACCACAACTTTCATGCTAAATTTGAAACATTATTACCCCTAAGAAACTGTTYCGATAAAGATCTTGAGGAAGATGGAAAACGAGAAAGGTGTTGGTCATAGAAGCACCAATTAGTGTTTCTTCAACAGAGTACTTGTAAAGGCTAGTAATGTGCCAAGGATGTTGGCCAAAAGATTTGRGAAGGATGGTGGGGAGCAGCTCAGTGCAAACTTCAACTAATGAATTTTTCCTTACAGTGGTCATAACTGTTAGCAWATTAATTCAAATTTACAAAAGGAGCAGAATAAAGCATTAATGAGCCATTGATTGGTTTTGATGGAAGTGTGTGAGCATCACCAGTGTCCAGGAACCCTCAGGTTCACCTCTTCATGTTTTTCATCAGGTTTCATCAATTTATATTTTCTTTTGGGTACATTTTGCCTACCTTACCTAGATCAGGCAGAAAGAGTGGTTGTTGTAATCATTAAAGACCTAGTACTAGAACTATTTAAGTTCTAACAGAGTTATAAAGTTGAAACCTTTTATGTCTTATATGAAAATCAAAAGAATACTAAAGCTTCTATCTATACTATATTATAACGCATTTGACAAAAACTATTAGAAAACCATTTTTATGCATGAAGTACTGTTTATTGATGCATATTACTTAAAATTCAATATTACAAATAAACTGTGCGTAAGTACAACTTATTAAAGCTTCATGTTTGAATTCGTGCAAGTAACTGGAGATAAATATAGTCAAATACAAGATAAACATTTCATTTTAAATATAAAAGATCTAAAATATAATTAGGATAATCATTGAGTTATAACAAAATACTTAATTATATTATCCTTATAAAAAATTATATTATTAAATCAAAAATAAATTACTTCGTTATAAAAACTAAATTAAATTATAATAAAAATAGTTAATTTGATACTAATATTGATATATTTATTTTCRAAATTTTATGATATCTTCAAATTTATATTTTATTCAAAAATAAATACATTATCCCTTTCTCARAACCACATAAAAACCATATTAAAGCATCTATAGGGACGGAATAAAATGAAACATTAAAATCGAGATATATCTCGCTGCATTGTGAAAGTACCCTTCTAGTTCTAATAATTAAGACACTATCTAAGACCTTAGAATTAAAGTTAAGTTATATCTTTTTTGACCAGTTGATYGGCTATTGATGAGAGTGTGGATATCACCCATGTCTGGAAAACGGAGGTGGTTCACCACTTTTTGGGTTCATTTCTAGCCTACTGCCTACCAGATAACTTTGTTTTCCTTTACCAGGCTGAATGGAGAAGTTAATGAGAACATGAAGTGTACAAGCTGGGCCACCTGACTAGGTATTATTCAAGGAAGGAAGTACACAAACAGAAGAGCAAGGAGTAAAGAAATCCCATAACATATATAGTTGGAAATAATAAATACTCAAGGTAGAGAATTTACTTCTGCAATATATGGCCAGAGTTTGCTTAATTGTTTATTCAGCCATTTCACCTGAAACACAAAGCTTTAGATGAGACACATTGAACACACAAGAATTATACAATGTTGACATAAAATATCATAGACAAGCTCTTTGGTGAATCCTTATAGTACACTCGCTGCATATAAATGCTGAGAGRGAACATAAATTTTGGATATTTGATAAAGACAAGCAATTTAGTAACAGCCCATGGCTTTATAGGCTGCTTTGTTTAGTTCCTTGAGTAATGCTAGCCATGCCCTTGAAATTGTTGGGGATTACAAGTCCCCTCTTATAAAATTAAAAAAAAAATTCCCAGAGCCTCATGGGGTTATACTTTGGAAGAGACATGAGCAAGCRAACTATAAACTAAAATTGAAGGCCTGAACTTAACATGTACAAAGTCATATTATTGGAACATTCTCAAGATCGGCATCGTATGTGGCAGTAAGTTGGATTGAGAGTAGGTTCMTTAAACTACAAGAGGTTCATAGTAATAAAATGGGGGGTAGGCTGCTTAGTTCAGCTTAGGAMAAGAACTTAAAAAACATCTTGAAAGACTTCCATAAAAGCTTGAGCGATATGAAACTAATTCTTGAGTTTCAGCAGACCACCACTCAGATAATGGATAAAAGCACCTAAGCGAATGAAGATGAAGAAGCAGGTTGACTTGGGAGCTTATGTTAATGGCTTAGTACTAAGAATGTAAAAGACTAACTAAGCAATTATGTATATATTGAAAGTGCTAACCTGTTCGTAAACAGGGAAAGAGATCCATTCAGGAAAGTTGTCACCACAGATTTTCTTCAGATCATCTCTGTTGAGACATCCAAGGAGCTTTATGTCCACTGCCTGAGGAAGAAACAAAGTATCTCAATATGGCCAATATCATTTCATCTCAAAAGAAAGRTATTTGAATGCTGCAAAACCAGAGGTTACCTCAAACTTTATCGTGAATGCAACTTCAATTTAATGCTATAACAAGTAGTAGCATTGTTCAGTAAACACACTCATCTCAACTGCCAAATAGTTATGTTGACATAATACTCGAGTAGCATATGGATCGCCAAGAATTACCAAACAATGATAGGTTTCACTATTTCCTTACAACGACATAGGCAGCTTCTTGACCTTCCGTTCAAACCATATGTACACCGACTGATAACTCTTTGTTTTCACAATCAAGTCTGCCCATGCTACAGATGTTTGTCCAGAGATGGAGCACACAACCATAGGACAACACCACTTCCASTATACTAAACGAGTATATTTAATTTACAAATTAATATAAATAAATAATTGCAGAGAAACAAAGCTCCAGTATCAGCTACCACACACCCCACTCTCACTGCAACCTATATTATATCTCCACTCTCACTGCAACCTATATTATATCTCCACTCCCAAACAGAAATGCAGTTTGACTGTTGCTATCAAACATCTACTTATCTTCAACAGTACTTAATCCAGTAAGTTTCCAAGATAAAACCCTTAACTGTTAAACTTCTTAACAAACACTAGAAATATGTCGGTGTTAAATTTGTAACAGAACCCAAATTACCGCAGAACTAAATACTTAAAAACCGGAAAGTCAAATGTCCCCCTCTCATTTATAAAGAAGAGATTACACTCAAGACTTGCAGAAGCACACAATCATATCAGGTTCCATTCAAGAGAAATCGCAACTTGGAAGCCCTAAAAATCACCATCTATTATCAGCCTGGCCGCTAATTCCAACGTTTTATCTTTCTTTAATTGATTTACATTATCCCCATTTATTAGATCCTAGTAAAAATAAACCATTTCTTGATCACAATCTATGATCACTACATCATCTAATTCCAGTCATGCAGCTCTTACAGATGGTAAATTTAAGTTACAATTGCAGAGTATATTAAACCCTAACATCAACAAAATCAATAAGAAAAAAATACCCTGACAATCAATCAAATTGATTAACATATACTCAGAATCACAAGTAGATATTTAAGAAGCTTAACAAACGATTACCTTAGCGATTCGTTTACTGCTTCGGTACCTCATCATCTGACGCCAACCAGCCATAATCGCAATCCCAAATATAGTCCCCATCAGTATTCCAGAAATCAACCCCATTTTTTACAAACTTCAACTCTCCGAAAACAAAAACTACAGTAAACAAATGAAATCAACTACAGTTTCAACTTGACAAAGAGAACAACTGAAAGAAAAGAATAGAAATATACCGTTTGTTATTGAAAATAGATGAAAAGGGATATGTTCTTGTGTGGGTTTCTCTCTCTAGAAGTCGCAATCGGCTTCGTTGTATTGGTGGCCACAACRACTGAAAGATTGGTTTTACAGATGCATAATAATGGGGGAAATGGGGTCGGTGTAGTCCAATTGCTTGACTTGCAGAATCTGTGATGAATTTGATACGAGGGAGGTGAATGTAACGTTCAATTCTTGCCTTGTTGTGTCCGTTACTTGTTTTGCTTAAATTGTCAATTCTAAAGATTTYTTTTATTTTAATATAATTATTTTTAATCTTTAAATAATACTATTTAAGAGGGAGTTTAAATATCAGAATATAAAAAAAACAGTTAAATTACATGTAATGTGATTACAGAACACGATCAATATAAAAAATGCAGAGGTACTTATCTCAAGACCTTAGGTCGCGTGTTAAGTCACATAAATTACATGTGAGTTTACATGTAATTTTACACGTGGTTTAGGGGTCGTTTACCAAACACTTACCCGGCAAGTGTTTACCGGTAAAACTTAACACTATTATTTACTTACAGAATAAAATTTTACCCAATCAAAACGACATTGTATACAACAATTCACCTGGTAAGTGCTTACCACGGTAAGAGTAGTCGTCTACATGAAGGGGATTTTGGACGTCAACAACTTTGTCTGACAATACTTTAATGTGGCTATAAATAAAGTTTTACGTGTGTAAGTGATTTGATCTGAGTGTGGGTGGTTCATTTCTCTTAAAAGCAAGTGTAACAATCTGTATGAGGTATTCATCGGTTAAAATTATTCTTAACTTCAGATTAAAAAATGGAACTTGGAATTATCCTACTTACCCAATGCCCCATATGCATTCTCATAATTCATTTGTTTCTAAAATAGGTTTATGCTAACATAAGGTACATATTAGTGGATCGGTATGTCTCGAGAAAAATGGATCAGTTATATATGCTGGGGAATCAATTTAAATTAAAGCGTACGTTATTTTTTCCTTAAACTTTTTTATTCTACATTTTGTTTGATTAAATGTTAAGTAAGATTTAAAAAAAAACTGCAAAACGTGTGTCAAGCAACCTTCCTTGATGGTTGTTTTAACCGTCTGCACTTATTATGAAGACATTGATTATAAAAGACAAGGTAAAAAATATATAAATTAAGGTAAATATTGGACAAGAAACTACTTTATCTTTCCTAAATAATTAATTTCATTACAACTAATATGAAATTGATTATTTGCATTGAGATAATCATAATTAAAATTAATTGATTCACACTTCAAGTTGTAACAATCAGATATCTAGTTTGGAAAGGCACATCTAAATATCTCTAAAATCGTATCTTGAGGTCTCAACGTAGGGTTTGATACACAAAAAAGACTTCACATGACAAAACTGGATTGGATTTGATATGATAAAACTAGACAAGTTGTANATATATATATATATATATATATATATATATATTACCTAGATTCAATATCTTACATATTTATATGAGAGATCGACGGTTGCTAGTTGGTTAGGCTTTTTGATAACAACTAGATGATAAGATCAAACATGAGAGAGACTGAATAGAATTTAGAGCTTTTGAACCATGAAGTTAGAGCTTCTAAACATGAACTAAAAAACGTTGTTTACCAAACGCTTACTTGGTAGGTGCTTACAGACAAAAGTCACCACCCCCACTTATGTTATTGGGTGAAATTCTTGGCCATCTAAATGGATTATTGGTAAGCATCTATCACCTGGTAAATACTTACCATGTAAAAATCACCACCTTCACTTATCGGAGACTTTCGATCCTTGTCTTGCCTTTTATCGTTATGATTCTCAATCCTTGTTATGCTTACTCGGTAAGGTAAGTGACCCGATAATCATTTGGTAAACGGCATCTTAGTCTTCATAAGCGCTCTGAACTAAGTAAAGAATGCTTCTTGCCTTCAGAAATACACTTGTAATATTCAAAAACTCAAATTTCACAAGCACTTCCCTTCTAAAACCCGTAGAGGTTCTGAGGGGCTGGATCGAACCTCGGCCGCCCTCGCCCATTGAATGGTCAACGAGACCACCGTCAGGCGCCAGGGTTTGCTGCCTCTTGGACCCTACAAGGGGGTCGGTCTCCTTAACCACCGCCTTGTTATGGTCAATCTAAGGTGATAGAGGTAACATTTCACTCTCATGTATCACCATTCTGCATCATTCACCTTCATACTCATGCTATGCTTGCCTTATCACCTAGTTGATCTCATATAAATCACAATCACACCAAAACTCTTGATGACATTAAAATCACCAACAATGAGTAAAAAGATAAATTTAAATTGAAACTTTATTCTAAATAAAGGTTCATATTTGTGTAAGTGTATGTTTTATTTTAATAAATCAACTTAAATTAATAATGCAAAGTATTATTATGATAAGTTAGATGGTTTTATGAATTAATAATTTTAATTAATGGGTTATTGTGCTATTGCTCTACATGTATCAGAAAATTGAAATCAATAAATCATCAACTGTCCAACTTTTATAGTAAAATTTTCACGAAAAATGACTTTTAAATAAAATTTCAACTTGTATATGCATTATGTAGGCTTCGATATTAATGTTGTAATCTGCTGACACGTTGCATGATAAAAGACTAGTCGTCTACATCATGGAGATTCTGGACATCAACAACTTTGTCTAACAATACTCTTACAAAACACAGTGTTAGAAAAGTAACGAATAAAATGAATTAATGAATAAAAATGAAAACACTGATTATAAAAGACAAGGTAAAAATATTGGACAAAAAATAACTTTACCTTTTCTTAATAATTAATTTCATTACAATTAATGTAATGAAATTGATTATTTGCTTTGAGATAACCAGAATTAAAATTACTTGATTCACACTTCAAATCATAACAATCAGATATCTAGTTTAGAAAAGCACGTCTAAATATCCCTAAAATCATATCTTGAGGTCTCAACGTAGGGTTTGATACAC